GAAGTAAATTTAATTTTTATAATAATTTTTTAAAAAAAATTAATTTAAGAGATATAATAATTTTTTTAATTAAATTTTTTTATTATTTTAAAATATTTTTTTTAAATCTTTTTTTATGAAAACCTATCAAAATTATTAACTTATTTAGTATTTTTTTATAATAATAATTTTCCAACATCTAGGCGAAATTATTTCTTTAAAAAAATATTTTTTTATTCCCTCCAACATCCAGGCAGGGAAAATAAAAAGATTATTCCATTATTATTATTATTTAAATATTTTTTTAGCTATTATCCTATATTGTTTTCATTTTATTATTATTAAAAAATAATTAGATATTTATCCTAATAATTTTAAACATTTATCATGCATAAATATAAAAACTTAAAATAACAAAAATAATAGTATAAAAAATTAGAAAAATTAAAAAAAAAAATTTTTTACCTGAACCGGACCAATCAACAGTCAAGTCAACACTGGTCTGAACGGATCTGACCGATTCAATGGTTCAATCAACGATTCAATGATCCAGCGATTCAAACCGGTTTACTGACGGTTCATCTGAACCAGTTCAAGGCTGATTGAAGCGGACCATCGGATCGAGTTACGTGGATCTCGGGTCGGGTTCGATTCACGCGCGGATCCTCTATGCTTGAAACGACGTCATTTTGGTCCTATGCTCAAAACGACGTCGTTTTGCCCCTATGTTTTCTATAAAAATCAGATTTTTTTTCCTTAGTTCATTTCATTTCACAGAAAAAAAAGGCTTTGGGGGTTCTCTGGCTTCCGTCGGAATCCGACGTCGGGTGCTGCGCTGGTCGGCGTGTGGGTCACCGCCGGCGGTGGTCGCCGGTGACCGAAAAAAGGTCAGAAAGTCGCCAGAAATTTCTTTCGACTCCCTCTTTCTGAATCCGACCTTCGTTTGGCCTGAAAGAGCCTTAATGGTCGCGAATCGACCTTCAAAGTTTCTGATCTCTCCTTTTTTTTCTTTTATTTTATTTTCGGACAGCTTAAACTGATGATTTCTCTTTCTTGTTTCAGGCGGCTGTGGCGCTGAGGTTCCTCCCTGCGAGGAGGACTGTGTTTTTTTTTTTTTGTGTAGATCTGTTTCGTTTTTCTGTTTGGGGTATTTTGGGGGGGTTGTTTGAAATTTTGGGTTTTTTACGCATGAGGATGAGGGTTCTGTCAAAGGCTGTTGAAAGTGTTTTGAGGGGGATAGTTCGTCTAAGCTTGGTGATTTCTGGTAGGGGGTGAAGTGAATGAGATCCTAGGCACCCGAGAGAGAGTTTTTGAGAGGGAGGTCCGAGAGAGATCAAGGGAAAAAAGTTAAGGGTTTTTAAGGAGTTCAAAAAGGAACAGGTGGTGGCTGTAGGGTGGCTGTAGGCTGATGAGCGTGGGCAGCTAGTGATGGCTGCAAGGTGGCTGGTGCCAGGCAACAGCCGTCCTGCTTTTTGCCGTTTTCTGTTTCTCTTTTTTGTTTTTTTGTTTTTTTGTTTTTCTTTATATAATTAATAATTATTTTTTAAAAAATATATATTTATTATTATTATTATTATTATTATTATTATTATTATTATTAAATTAAAATAGAAACAGTAGACCCGAACAAAACCGGTGTCTACAGAAGCCAAACAGAGAGAAAGAGGAAGAAGGAAAGCTGTGTTATAATTAGATCAGACTCACTGAGTTATGATGCAAATGCAGCACAAAATTTTGACAGAATTGAATTATTTTGAAATTTGAAGAGACACTGACCATGCAATAAAAAAGATCTTGCTTTTCTGGCAGTTCTTAGAAGTCACAAAATCAAAGTCATAAACTGCGTAGCGGCAATCATTCTCAGGCAATGAGGCAGTGAAATCATCATAGCTCTCAGCTGGACTACCAGTTTTTTCAACTAAAATCTCTTTTTTCTTTTCATCAATCCTAAAGATCACATATCAAAACGCCTTCTTCCTTTGCAGCTCCAGGTATGTGTTTTTGCCGTGTTCAGCCACTCCCATTCCAGATGATGCATTTGCCTGAAAACCAGAAACAAATGCTCAATGTTCAATGCTTACTCTAACCAAAATTGACTAGCAATGACTTTTAATATTAAAAAACCATTATATTTTCTGTAAAGCAGATCAAACTTGCTTCAATGAACCCTAAACAAAAGGTCCAAGATGCAGAAGCCTCTGATACAACATGAAAACTTTCACAAAATTTAAGAATGTAAAATGTGTAAATTGACACTCTAAACACTATTTTCCACCACGATCCATAATTTCTAACTCCATCACTATTCAGTATTCACAAGTACCATAAATGTCATGTGGGATTTTAGGCTAATGCAGTGCACATAAAATTTTATGTCCATCAATAAACAAACCAATCGAACATAATTCAAAAGCCTAATCCTGGTTTAAATCTCAAGGCCCATTTATTTACAACGAGATGCAGTGCTGGCATTACAATTGGAGACGAAGATGCACCAAAAAAGAGATAAAAAAGGACAGATTTTAATTTAAATTAGCTTGGATAGACCTACAAAAGATACTATTTTGAGTGCAAAATCAAAATCTTTCTTTTCTTCAAGCTGTGTTCTTGAGATAACTTTACTTCAATTAATCTCAATGGGATTGCAGTGAAATACCAAGCTTGACTTGCTTAACATTCTCAACATATTTTAATTAATGAAACTGCAAACGAATCTAATCTAATAATCCATTATTTCATGATCCTAAAATGGAAAATAAATGGAAAAACCAAAACTAACAGCTAAGATCTAACAAGCCATGGAAGATTCAATATTACCCAAGAAAAAAACCCAATAAATTAAACAAAAATAAAAGCTACCGATATAGTAAAAACCTTAACTTTGTTTAAGTTTCAGCCTGGAAAAGAAAATTCAACTATTTTTAAGCTAAAACAAAGAGAATAAAAAGAACCCAAACTAAATCAGATACAAAAGAATCAAAAGAATGAGAGACTTACTCCTCTAAAAGACATGGCTGCTTCACATTCAAATGAAGAAAGAAAATGTGAGTTTTGGAAAGAAGAGAACAAAGAGAGAGAGAGAGAGAGAGAACAAGGAGAAAAAGCAGCCACCAGAAAGAAGAAAAAAGAAAAATTTTAAAACTGTTTTGAAATTTTAATTAAAAATTTATACTTTTTGTGCTTTTTGAGATAAACATGAAAAAAAAATTGAAAAAGGATTCTTTTTGAGAGGGAAGGAAAGAGGCGAGTCGTGTTCGATTCTTTTATGACAGTGACGGTCATATGATCATCATCGCTTCTTGCTCACGTGGCTATTTTTAAGTGGTCCATTTTCTGTCACTGTTAAAAAATTGATATTTTAGTACAGTTTTTTTAGTTATTTTGGATTAATATGTAATTTATCAGTGAATTACACCTTTTTTTAATTTAAATTATACGGTCTTTTAGTAATTTAATACTAATATAAAATAATTTATGATTGGATATTTAAATTTTATTTTAATCAAATATTTTATATTATTTATTAATATCATTAATCAAAATATTAATATGATAAATATTGATCAATCAAAATATATTATGTGTAATAATATTATTAATTTTTTCACATTAAATTATTGTTAATAGAATTGGTACGTGAGCAATACGGTTGGTAGCCCAACCCACTTTCGACAAATTTCAACTCGATTTTATTTTGTGCGATGAAAATTTTTTTTTTTTAAATCAAATTTTGAGTCAAATAAAATTTAATGTTATTAAAAAAATTAAATTTTAAATAAATTTAATTTGATTTGATCATATATATTATTTTTAATTATTTATTTATATATTTATATATTATTTAATTTTATATTTATATTAAAAAATAATATTTTATTAATTTCAATCTAATTGAGTCGAATACGATTTCTTTAATATTAAATCGAATTAAATTTAAATATGAAAAAAATAAAAAAAATTTGAATCAAATTTAAATTTTATAAATATAAAATTAAATTAAATTCAAAATAAATAAAAAGTCTATCTGACTCCATCTGTTATCTTTCTTGATAAATAAAATATAAGTAAATAAATTTTGAATATTTAATGATAATATCTTATTTGTCATTATTGAAGTACAATTAATTAATTATTATTGAATATTAATAAATTTTAATAAATTTCCATACGTCATGAGTTAAGAAAAATAAAAAACTTTGATAATTGTCGAATGGACCCAAACAAATACTTTTATAATTTTTTTATTTTGACCTATAATTATATAATTTGTTCATAAAACAATAAATTTTTAATTTTTAATAAATAAAATCTCATATTTTATTGTTTTAAACATAAAAAAAATTATTGATTTTGAGCCTAATTGTACGAACTTTGTCATTTAAAACAATTTTTATAAGGGTGTTTTTATTTGTATTTTATTTTTTTCTCTTTATATTTTTTTTAAATTATTTTTAAATAAAATTATTTAATTATTTTTATCTCAATTTTAAGATTTTTAAACATGTAAATTTGGAAGTTATATGATTAACTAAATTTCTAGTAAGTTATATAACTTATCAAACTTTTATATTTAGTAAATTTTGAAAAAAATTATATTTAAGGTTTAAGAAAGAAATTTAATTTAAAAAATATTGTATCTTAAAGAATTTTCACAATATTACAAAAAAAGTACAATTTATTTCAAGTAATTATAAACTAATTTACAAATAGATAAATAAAAACTATACAAAGAGATATTTAGATGTTTTCTTAATTTCAACAATATGATGCATAAAATTTTAAAATTTTCCAAATATATGAATCAGATTCACAAATTCATAAAATTTTAAAATCACCCGAATTTATAAATTTAAAAATTTAAAAGCAAAAGAATTTTTTTAAAACTAAATTATTTTATTTAAAACTTATTTAATAAAAATATATAAATAAAATGCAAATAGGAGCCCTATTAAGCCAGCCGATCAGTTGCGTGCCCTAGCGCTTTTTACAATAAAAACCGGCGAGACTCAACTTTCAACTAATTTTTTTATTATGGCCAAAAAAAACTTTAATTTTTATACGAATTCAAACCCCGCGGGAACATGGAATCCCAAATCTAACTGTTTTTTGAATTAAAATATATATATATATAAATTCTATAAAAAAATTAAAATTTTGTCAAAATCTTTGTTTCAATTTTCTGTCCTCTTTCCGGAGAACCAAACAGAAAGTTTTTTTTGTTTTTTTAAGAATATGTCTTTAGGGCACAGAGGTTCGGCGAATCCAGCCGCCATGCTTGCTTCTCTCATGACCAAAAGAGAAAAGCTTCAAGACGAGCTTCGCAATATCGAAAAGCAGGTAAATTTTTTACCTTTTTAACCCCGGTGAATTTTCCCTTTTTTTTTTTTGTGTATTATTGGTAAAGAAGTAACACTTTGAGGAATTACCATTAAAAATTCTTAATTTAATTGATATTCTTGCTGTAGGTTTATGAATTAGAGACTAATTATTTGCAAGATTCGAGCCATTTCGGGCATGTTTTGAAAGGATTCGAAGGGTTTCTTGCTTCATCCAAGAACACAGCAAAGTAATTATTTTTCCCCCTATGCTGTTTATTTACTGCCGGTAATTTTATGTGTAATTTTATTTTAATCATTGAATTGCAATTTGCAGTTTCTAAATATCTTACTGTATGCAGATCATTATCTTTATAATTAAAACTTTTTTACTGGAAATCTTGAGTTTGATAGAAACTTATTGAGAATTTCTTACATAAGCTCTTGTTATAATCAAGTTACTATATTTCTTCCGATTAATAGAAAACGTGTTACGGGCCAGTGCCAGAGTATACTGAAGCTGGGCTAATGAATTAGCAAAACCTAACTGTTGATGAGTCCAGTATTATACTATAGTATTTTTTTTTTTTTAAATTCCTAATCTACCATTATCCCCCTACCCTACTACTTACCTGCCCAGAGCCAGAGTATACTGAAGCTGGGCTAATGAATTAGCAAAACCTAACTGTTGATGAGTCCAGTATTATACTATAGTATTTTTTTTTAAATTCCTAATCTACCCTTATCCCCCTACCCTACTACTTACCTGCCCAGAGCCAGAGTATACTGAAGCTGGGCTAATGAATTAGCAAAACCTAACTGTTGTTACATAAGCTCTTGTTATAATCAAGTTACTATATTTCTTCTGATTAATAAAAAACGTGTTACGGGCCAGTGCCAGAGTATACTGAAGCTGGGCTAATGAATTAGCAAAACCTAACTGTTGATGAGTCCGGTATTATACTATAGTATTTTTTTTTTTTAAATTCCTAATCAACCATTATCCCCCTACCCCTACTACTTACCTGCCCAGAGCCAGAGTATACTGAAGCTGGGCTAATGAATTAGCAAAACCTAACTGTTGATGAGTCCGGTATTAAACTTTATGTTTTTTTTAAATTCCTAATCTACCCTTACCCCCCTACCCTACTACTTACCTGGCTGAAGAGAACATTATGCGCATAAACTCCCTTGAACCTGCAACCTGCAAGCACCAACTCCAATGATAGGTCAACTAATCCAAGAGATAGTCGGCTTGTACTATAGTATTTTAAATAGCTGTTTAAGTTAGTTATTAATGGTCATATAGAATTAATTGCTGGTTGGGATTAGTTACGCTGGATTAGTTAGGGGAATGCTGAGTCACTGTCTGTTATGGATATTTAAGGGCGTATGCTACAATTGTAAGCCATTCAGGAAATTCATACAATAGAATACAAGAACTATCTCTATTCTTTCTCTGTACTCTCTCTCTTTTCTCTCTACTTCCTTCTCTCACTGGGGAGACTCTTTGCGTCAGCTTAATCTCTTCATTCTCAGATAGCTCGTATCAAAATGTAGAGCCATTTATGTTGACATAGAAATTTTAATGGCGTGTTGTATCTTTATTATTTGAGAACCCATAATTGAATAGCAATTTCTCAAAATTATCAGATTCAAAGTAGAGCATAAATGGCAATCCTACTGATTAGTGCTGGTAATCATGTTAGGTATTTCATGTTCTATTTTTTGTGACAGAAAATTCATGTAAATTTGTTTTTGTAGCTTAAAGAGGTCCAGGAAGTTTCAGCCAGAAGATAGACTGTTCTCATTGTCATCAGTCACATCACCAGCGGTATGTGATAGTAAAAGCTTCTGTAATTATGCCTAACTGTGTTTTACCACTTTTTTGCTAGGTTTTTTTTTTCTTTTTGGTTCATTCTTTCTCATGGATAGAGGTGACACTTGAAACATGTATTCAGCATTAGACAGTTAGAGTTAATAAATGTTGCGAGCATTTACTTGGGCTTAATTTATCTGTGATCTTGTGTATCTCAAATTGAAGTTTCAAATAAGTTTCCTAACAGATTAGATCACAGAAGAAATATCTAGCAATCACTATATGTATTGAGCTTAGAAAGGCCATCATGTTTTAGTATGACATTAAATATGCTGCTGTTATTAAATGTCATTCTTACATAGAATAAGTTTATTTGAGCTAAAGAGAGTTGAGATGGGGTAGTTGGTCTTGTCAACTTTCTGAATGGCATCTTCTGAGCCATCCCCGTATTAGTATGCGGTGATATCAAGTAGTTGCATATTAATGTTTATTGCCTGGAAGCTCAAGTAGAACTTGTTGCCTACTATGATAGCAACAACGCATACTGAGATAGTAGGCTGAAACTCTGTATTAGGTTTCGTTCAGCACTTGATTGAACTAGAAGCATAAAGGTGTTTTTTCAATAATATACCCTTTTAGGACTTATATGCTCTACATTTTTCTGCTTCTGTCCACTTTTAGGAATCTATGATCATAGTTTAAAATGAGAGCATTTAACTGACAGAATTTAAAATCAGTACTGGTGATGATTATCTTCAATCTACTTGTTGAATATTTTTCTCTTGAGAACTTTGGTTGCATATTGTCCCAAGATAAACCATTATTTACATGAGTTGGTGATTAGAATTGTCATTGTTTATAATAATATTTTGTTATCTTTAAGTATTATTCAACTATTTCTCTAGTCTCACCATCTCTGTGCAATTGTGCTGCACCTTCCATTTGTTTTATCAGAAATCAATTGTGCAAAATGGTCATGACCAGGCTGTGTCTCAAAAGTACATGTAGTTGAGATAGTTATTCAGATTTAACAAGACTGGTTTGTTCACTTTGCTTCTTTATGTTCAGGCTGAAGAACTCAGAGTTCGACAGGATGGTAAACCTTGTTCATTATTTTACTAATTCTTTCCCCCTTAAAAGCTATTTTTGACATACTTTATTTGGAATCCTCTCTGTTGCAGATGGAAGATCTGATTTTGGTCCAGGTCGGTCTAAGGGAGGAGGCTTAGCCGCCAATGGCCAGTGAGTCTGCTTATTCATATTTACCATTTGAGTTCTATAAGCATTTTAGTTTTGAGGAGATACAAGGAAAGAAAGCAGTAGTAGGTTCTAGATTGAGTTGGAATTACTCAGTCAAGTGAAACTTTACATATCAGTTCATAACATAGACCTTTTATTTATTTCACTTTTAGAGGCAAACCAAAGAAGGGAAGAACTGCCTCATCAGCAAGAGATGGAAAGAGAATCAGGCCATCAAGTGAACAAGATTTCGATGATGAAGATGATCATGATATGAGTTTGAGATAAGTTAATAAGGACTTGTAATGTAACTTTAGATATAACCATCTTCTGTAACAATTGGGGGAATTCTTAATATGTAGTCTCGGTAGTCTAGCATTCAGGTGATGCTGATCGCAGCCTTTAGGATAGCTGCATTGCATGTGAAGAATGTAGTGAATCTAGGGCTCTCATGTATAATATATTGTATAATTCCCCCCCCCCCCCCCCCCTCTTTCTGTATCTTGATTGTTTCGAATTATATTCTGTTCGTTATGTCGACATCATCAAGAATTATATAAACTTAGGAAAGAAAAGTCCGTTAAGCTTCCATTACACCTTACAAGTAAAACATAGTTATATGTAGTTTTGTACTGTTTATCTGGCAGGGTTTGGAAAGAAAGGAGTTTAGAAGGCTTGGCAGCTGATTGAGGTTGGTTTTAAGCTAATAACAAATGCAATCTGTACAGGTCTAGGTGAAAACATAGTTCATTTTCTCTATTGAATCTGTTTCCTCTTCCCCTGAATGATTACATTCTGATTCATACTTTAATTGGTTCTAATATTCTCTTTTTAAAAATAACATTTAATTCGTCAAAAATTTAAATTTTAATATCTGTAACTTATGTTTTTAATTTTACGTTGCAATCTTTTTTATAAAGAAAAAAAAAATTAGAACAGAGATAATTTATTGGTTAAACTCATCTAACTTTATTTTGATTAGAATTCTTTTTACCAAACACAAGCTTGGCAGACATAGCTTAAACTATACTTCGCCAAGCTGAAACAAGTTAAGACTTACAAAAGAAAGGGTACAATTGCCAGCCATTGTATCATGCAAAGCAAAGAAAGAATAGAATTTGACGAAGCAAGAAGCGTATTTTGACTGTTTTCTCTATTATATAACAGAGTATTTCTACAAAAATATGGTAAAGTAAATACTAAATCAATTCAGGTTCAAGCTATTAAACAAACTCTAGGATAGTACTTACCATCATAAATAAAAAATCTAAGCATGTGTCCTCCGTTTAGATTTGTTCAAAGATTGGATTAATTATTCAAATTTAAAGGTCCATTCAAATTTTAAAAAGAAATAAATAAAAAATTAAGGTTCGTTTAATGAGTTTGGATATAATTTTTAGATTTATTTAAATTTAAAGTCAAGTCTTAGATAAAAGAATTAAAATTTAAACCTAGTTTACTCTACATGAATAAAAAATATAATTAAAATATTATAATTATGTAAGTACATATATATATGTAAAATTTTATTTTTAAAAAACAAATTTTTGTAATTTTTATTATATAAATTAAATTTAAGAGGTGAGTTTAATATTTATTTTTTTAATTTGAGCCAAATTTTTAAAAAAATTTAAAACCCGAAATATTAGACAAGGCTGGATTTAAAAAAAAAATATAACCTATTAATATCAAGTATAAAATTAACCTGAACCCAGCTCGACTCAGCCCTTAAAAATATCTTCATTGATAAAGAATTAAATTTTTAATTTCAACAGTAGATATTTAAATCTTAACAATCTCAAACAACCAAAAAAAAATTTTTAACACGATTTAATTTTTTTAAACACTTTATGAAGATAGAAAAGTCGATATGAAAATTAGATTGTGAAAATGTTACTGTAAATAAATTTTTTTGATATAAAAGAAATTACAATCTAAAAGTAAAAGTAAAAGAAAGGGTTCGTGATACTAAATATTAGGAAAAGTAAATTTCTAAGTTCTTTTCGTTACTTAAAATTTAAAGAAAAACATTGAACCATCACCATTAAGGCAACGACAAAAATAGAAGGGAAGTAGTTCCTTGTTAAAGAACGGTCAGCTCACGGCACCAACTGCATTTTGCAATCAGATTAGAAACAACAACTGCAACTGGGCTATCTCTTCGTTCAATTGTTTTTATAATGAAAATTTGTTGAAGAAAGTACAATCATAGGTAGACATTTTTAATCAAAAGAGAGAAAATGCTCGTTTTTTTTTTACTTGATCAAGCTCTATTTATTTATTTATTATGTTCAAATCATTTAATATTTGTCCAATATTTCATTTTAATCGTAGTTTTTAAATTTTAAATTTTAGATCATAACTTTTTAAAATATGTTCTCAATCTATTGTTCCATTAATCATCCTAAGAATTAAATAAAATACATTACGTGAATATTTATATGAATATATTTCACTTAAAATTCGTATGAGTTTATTTTTTTATCACGTGACATTCATATTTTATTAAATTGTAGTTAACAGAGTTGAAGAATTTGAAGATTTTTAAGAGGTCGGTCATTTAATTATTTAAAAAATTATGTTTTAAACATCATGATGAAAATGAAGTATTAGGAAAAAATATATCATCATCTTAAGCAAAGAAAATGGGAATTATTTTATTTTTATTTTTTTTTATTCGTGAGAGATGAGACTGGTCTGAACAAAGAACATAAGAAAGCTAACACCAAAAGCATCAGCTAGCAAGCAGAAGCCAATAGCAAGCAAGATTTGCAATAAAATCTATCAAAGGGGTTTCCCCCTCAAAACATGTCTCATTCTATGAGATGAAAGAATATTATCTTAAATTATATGATTTAAAATCCATTAAATTTGGAATTAATGTCAAATTTGTCACTGCATTATGGATTAATATTGGATTTTGTAATGTATCTTAATTTCGTTGTTAAGATTTGTCTTTGGTCTTTTAATTTTATTGATTTTTGTATATAAAGTAAAGAAATTATTGCAAAATTTTCATTTACATTAATAGAATATTTCATGAAATGTTTTAATTCCATTACTTTTTGTCTAAGAACCAAAAAAATAAAAATACAATGGTAAAATTTGTTATTTGCATTAACTTATTTCACGAAAATTTCAAATTCCATTATTTTATTAATCCAAAATTAATTTTAAAAAAACTAAAAATTCAATAGCAAAATTTAGTATTAACTCATAAATAATAACAAATTTCACCTTTAATCCCATTTAATTTTCAAATGGAAGGAAAAAATTGAAATTTTCATTACAAAAAAAAAAAAAAAAGTTGACATGAAATAACCTTTCGATTTAAAATTTTAATTTAGATAATTAACTATTATTACATTATTGCTACCTCATTGCTTACTTTTCTACCTAGTCCTCTCTCGTTTTCTCAATTTTAATTTTTTATAAGGAAAAAAAAATTAGATTTTTTTACACGTTGAGCATTCTGTAGCAATTTCTGGGTCTCCAAATTTTTTGCTCCTCCAGATAGCTTAGTTGATTGAATCCAAGAGAATTTTGTTGGCTTTACAATTAAATCTTCGGGTTTGTATTAACTAAGCAGTTTTAAATGATCTTTGAACATAAAAAAAGTTGTTAAACCGCTTTGATTTTAATTAATTTGAAAGGTTTTATGAAATATTAATTACAAGTGGATTAATCTTCCGGCAGCCATGGGTGAATTCAGTTAGTATAAGTTTAAAAATGTAGGCAAAACTATCTTTTTTTTTCCTCTATCCATTGGTTTACGTACCTTTTTTTTAGCCAACTCTATTAGGTAAACTTAAAAAAAAAAGCATAAAATATGTAAACCATTCAAAGACATAATAGTAGCATTATATATTTTAAGCAATTATCAAAGCTATCAAAGCCATCATTATTCTTAATGATGCATAGACCATGGATGATGAATTTTAAAATGAAGCTAGTGGTCAAAATGATGCCACTAGTTTATTATTAGGGGCATTTTTTGTTCAAATGGTAAAATGCGTTTTTTTTTTTTAATTAGAGATTATTAACAAACAATTAGGAATATGTTTAATTTTTAAATTGAATTGATATGTCAGGATAACCTAAATTCATGGGATCATATCAATTCGGCCACATCATCAATCTATCCACTAGACCCACATAAGTGTTGATTTGTCATTCCATAGTTAAGGTGGTCAACATTAAGCTCAACTCAGCCTATCAAGTTATCCCTAACCCTAGTTTGACCTTGGGCAACTTATCTTGCATGAAACCCCCACCTTACATGTATAAATAGCATCTTTTAGGTACCTTTTAATCTCTCTCTCTCTCTTATATTTCATTGCAATCTCCTTCTTATTTTCCTTTTTGAGTGATCCCTAATTTGAGTATCAAAAAACAAACTTTAGAAATACTCCCAACCTTTATCTTTAACAACTCTCTTTTTATTTCTTCTATTTTCAGGGTTCTATCCCTAAAAGAGTAGCTCAGCACCAATAGGTATTATATGGGTTAGTTATTATATGATAAGAAATTGATTAAACAAAGCTTATTACATGATATACAGTGTATGTATGTATATATGTGTATAATCTCATAACGTTCAAGTCCAAAAACCTATCTATTAGATATAAAAATTATGGAATAGCTACTATTTTTTTTTTATTTAGGTGTGATTGCCACTTAAGTGTATTTATCATTTTTAAGGTTATCTTAAGTTTTAAGGTTATGTGCAGGGAAAATGTTAGCACCTCATTACGTTCAAAATTGATACCAAGTTAATCACATGTTATTTTGTGATAAGCCTTAATCAAAAATAACTTTTTATTAGTTTAAATATTTAATTATTAGAAAAAATTTTTAGGATTTTACCAAAAAAGAAAATTTTCTTACATCATAAATATTCAAGATAAACTCGTTATTTATTTGAAAAGACTCTATCGTTGGATTTATTAAATAACTTATCAAATTCAAATTCAAATTTTAATTACTTTTATTTATTTACAAAATATTGTCATACAAAAATTTTATAAAAAGTATCATGCAATAATATTAAAAAATCATGCAAATATATAATAAATCATGAATAATAAATCATGCAAATAATAAATAATAAATAAATCATGCAAATATTAAATAATGCAATAATATTAATCATGTAAATAATAAATAATAAATAACAAAAAGACATCATGCAAAAATATTATGTAAGCAAATTAAATTCATGCAAATATCATGCAAATATATTATAATTATTCAAAACAAATGCATGCATTTAAATATTATAGAAATTATGCAAAATTAAACAAAAAATCACACAAATAAAACTATAAAAATATATTACCAAAGTTTTTTTTCTTTTTTCATCACAATTAAATAATAAAATAACAAAATAAAAAAAAATTTACGATTTAAGTCGGATCAAAATGTAGGTTGGCACATGGGTTATTGGGTTGAAACACAAATCTCATCCCTCTAAAACAACACCATTTAGTCTAACTATAAAAGCCAAAAATCTTTTTTTTTCATAAGTACCTTCCTCCTTCTTTCTCCAGCCTTTAGGTTCTTTAACTTCTCTCTAAAATTCTCCACCTGAAAATTCAACCGTCTCTAAACTTTCAGTCAAAATTGCAAAATCTGGCATTGAAAATTTCAAATAGTGCTAAAAAATTTAAAGAAAATCCATAAACCCAAAAAAAATCCCAAAATCCGACCACTATAAACTCCTTTGGCCACCATGGGCCTCTCCGGAAAATTCAAGTCTCATTAGAAAATTCAAACAATTTAAAAAAAAAATCCAAAAATTCTAATGAAATATTAAAAAATTCCAAAAAAATCTAAAACCTAAAAATTTAACCCAAATTTAAAAAAAAAAAATCCAACAATTCCAAAGTCCCAAAATCTTCAGAAAATTTTCATATTAACCCAAAATTTCAAATATCAACCAGAATTCCAAACCAAACAAAAATCAAGCCAAAATCCGAAAAAATGATCGAAGCTTAAAAAAATTTCCGAAATCTCCAAGACCCCAAAAACACCAAAATCATAAATCAAACTAAAACCTTTTAAAAGTTACCCAATCCCAGAAACAATTTAAAACACCAAAAATTTACTTCTTAAAACCCAGAATCAAACCCAAAAACTTTTATACTTTGATTGCTAATTGCTTCCGATTGCTTCTTGCTTATTGCTTATATCTGCAGTCGCATCTTAAGGTTTTTTTATAGGGATTAATCCCACTTTTACTTGGAAAATCCAAGATTTCACTTTGGAAAACCATAATTATACCCTAGGATTTCCCTCAATATTTTATTCTTTGTGCAATCTTTTTTTTTTTTTTCCATGACTTGGGGATCAAGAACTTCCTTAGACAATTGATCTTTAAGGTCCAAAATCTAAAATGAAATCCAAGATCAAAATCTGCAGCTTTTCTTGTACAAATTAAATTCCACATTTTTTTAACTTTGACTCTTTGATTTTTTAAAAAAACAAAGAATAATAAAACTAAATTTAAACTAAAACTAAAATAAAAATTAAGCCAATAATTAAACTACAAAATAAATTATGGGCTCTTCATTTTTTTTTATCTTAAAAATCAATTTCTCAATTAAGACCCAATTAAGATTAAAAGTCCATTTTGATATCAAAAATTTTTTTCAAACAAAATAAAATGTCTACATATATGTATGTATGTATTATTAAGATTAGCTTTTTTATAACTCTTCAATTTTGTTCGGCTGCCAATGATTGATAGGCACCAATCAAATTATTGTAATTAATCATGAGTTAGTCATGCTTAATTTAAGTTTCCAAATATTTTATTTATTTATTTCGTGATAAACAATATATTAGGATTGAAGTCTTAGTTTAACAAAAAGATAATAAAATAAGTGTAAAAAATTGAACACATGATATTTATAGTAATTAATTCTGATTGGAGATCAATTACACAATCAACGTCAAAATAGCAATTAGGTTACATGCAATCTAACAAAAATATTTAAAAACATCCAATTTTAAGATAGAATCATGAAACATGCTTGAATTTGTGTTTTATTTGTTCCTTAAAATAATCTTACATCTTCCATGCTAATATCATTTGAAACATGGTATCATTCCATAACTAGCACCACTTATGCATTTAACAAAAGGAAACTAACAAAAGAGAAGAACATGCTTGTAAGCTTAGAAAAAAGGTTTTGACAGGTAACTGGAATTATATAAATATATATATATTAATTGTTTATAAGTATATATATATATAATATTTCTAAAAAAATAAAAATATTATATTATACATATAGTTTAGCTCTCATATTTTGACTATGACCAAAAAACATGCACTTGCACTCCAATTTTATAGAAAAATAGATAAATAAATTCAAAGCAATTGACCAAGTTTTCAAATGGTTCCGTATCTCAACTCCCATAATTTCATTAGTGAGAAAGTCGGCCTGGATAATTTGAAGAACAACTCAAATTTTGGAAAAGAAAAGGGTTAATTGGAAACTTCTTTCTAGGCCAAGTTTGCATTTTCCTTTCAACTCTCTGATGATTTATTGATGGCTGCCAAATTTGTAATTGTCGTTTTTATTCCAGTTTGGATTAGATATTGAAACAAGAATAATATAAATTCTAACCATCATGTTGTTGTAGTTTTCCAATGGATTTTTGCTACGGCTGCTCTCATAATTTATATATATTTTTAAAAAATGAATCTTCTTTCTACCATATGTTATGATGTTGCTGTTTAAAAAAAATAAATGCATAAAATAAATTTCAAAATTCTTGAAATAATATCACACGTAAAATCTTAAATACATTAAATTGATATAAGGATATATGACCTTAAAATCGTAGCAAAATTCAAAAATTATCTTTGACCGTATCATAAAAAAAAAAAATCCCCAACAAAGAATTAGTAAATATAAAAATAAAAATTAATAAACAATGGGATTGAATCAATTGTTACCATATTATAATTGAAAAAAATAATCTTAATTTGAAAAAACTGTCTTCCATAAAGAAAATTTAACATAAGTTAATTACACCAAGTCAAAGTCTTTATATAATAAAAACACACATTTCAAGTCCCAAATATCCACATTGGTATGCCAATCTCGATGGTTGGGGAAAGACTAGCAAGTTGGTAAATTTGGGTTAATTTTTTAAAAAAAGCTGGGTTAATTTCAAAGAATGTAATAAGATTGATCAAATTTTCATTTGTGATTTATTTCTCTTTCAACCCTTTTTTTTTTTTTTTTTGTGTCAAAACTCAAAAACCAATAATATTGGCCTCCAAATCCTTGTTTTCTTTAGTAGTCATTTTCAGAGTTTGAAAATTGCAATGATCCCCCTTCTTGGTTGGTACGTATGCATGCGATCTTAATTAATATTCAATTGACATATCTTAGAAGTTACTCAGATTCTCTCATAAAAAAAAAAAAAATTCAAAACAATTAATAAAGAAACACATCAATTTGGACTTTCTTATACAAGTAACACATGTAATATGACAGCGATATTGTAATGCAATAAAAAGAATTAAACCCAAAATCTTAAGTTAATTAGGCATGAACATTATATAATTAGCTTTAAAACAACATGAATTAATTACAAACTCTTCTTCTTCTTTTAATTTTTTTCATCATACATAAATATATTATATCTTCAAGATTGCATAATTGTGAGAGATAATTCGATTGCTAATATTATTCTATAAGCTCCAACTGCAAACCATCTCATAATTCGAATTGAAAATCTAAAGTTGGAATTTAATAGTATTTACCAAACATTTTGTACTGAAAATTTATTTTTGTGAAGCACTTAAATCAAAGAAAATTCTCTTTAAAAATCAATCAATTTAATTGTTGAATTTATTCAAATTTTACCAACGAGTGTTCTCAAAATAAAATTTCAAATTATTTTATATATTAAGTAATTTATTTTTATAACATCTTGAAATTTATAACATTAATTGTCAATTATCATATTTATTACAAAAATATTATCATAAATAACATTTTAATTAATTTTAAAAAATTTTCTAAAAACACTAGTTAATAAAATTTATTATCCAAAATGCTACATATTATTATAAAAATGATTCAATGCTACTTGTGGTTACAAATTCAAGATCCTCAATTTTAGTATTCTAGTATGTCATTCTACTTGAATAAAAGTATCTTTCATGTGAAAAATTTTCTTTCTTCAACATTAATCTAAACTTTTTTTAATGAATATTTTTAGTATAAAAAAATAATAATTTGGGGATAATGGAAAAAAGTTATATATAATGAAATTTAAATTTTAAATTTATTAAATGCCCTCTCTTGAAAATTACTGAATGTTTCTATTAAATTAAATATTATATTTGTACCTTTTGATGAATATGTATTTTGTAACTTTTGGTTTATAAAACTAAACAATATACCAATCAATATATTTATTTCAAATTAATCAAACCCATGTTTGTTTAAAAACGGTTTGTCGTTTTGGAGCTGGCAATTTGTTTTGGTTTTACCGATTTGATCCAATAATAATAATAATAAGAATAAGAATGTCCATGTGCAGCAATTCTAGTGCTATTTTTTTAAGGATATTAAAAAAAAAAAAAAAACCAACAATGAAATGTCAATGTCGAAGCTCTGCTTTACGTTTGGGTGCTTTATTTTTTTATTTATTTATGTAAAAACGTTATCTGCTCTCGTCTGCTTAATAATTATTTAATTAAAATTAATCATATTTAATTGGAGTAATGCATGATTTTTTTGACTGATCAATGTTCGCTTGCTTATGTTCTTGCAACTTTTTTTTTTTATAACAAATTCTCCATAACACGACAAATTGAGAAATTCATGTAGTAATTGTTCAAAGTTTTGGTAATAAATAAAATTTACTTTTGGAGGATGGCTGTGTGAGAGAGCAGGGAAATCCTTTTTCCTGGAAATTGCCTTCTAGCTTTTGAATATAGAAGCTTTAGCTTCCATGTCTTGAACTTTTCAAGCAATTTGTGAATATAAATAGCCCACCAGGTGGCCTAGGAAATCTTAAGCTGAGGGCTTCATTGGCAAGAGAAATAGAGTTGGGGTGTCTGGGAATTCATCTTACTACAGCTTGTTAAACCCTGTTTTCAATGAACTAACAAAAAAGAAGAAAAATGGCGAGAGCTCCTTCCTGTGATAAGATGGGATTGAGAAAGGGTCCATGGGCTCCTGAAGAAGATCAGATTTTGATTTCCTACATTCAAAAATATGGCCACGCAAATTGGCGTAAGTTACCAAAGCAAGCTGGTAATTTCCAAAAATCTGACCTCGGGGTCTTTTTTTTTTTTTTTTTGTACGAAGGAAACAGTAGTCTGGAAAAAAGAAAACAGTAGTTCGAATCTTTTGAATTTCATCTTTTACAAGTGATTACGTAAATCAACTGAGTTAAAATTCGGATTCATATCTGTTTTTTCTTTTCCGTTATATATTTAGGCCATAAAATATCAAAATAAATTAACAAAAACTAGTTTTCCTCGAATATTCTGGCATCTAAAGGTGATTGTGCATTATCATGGTTTCTGTCTGGTATTTTTCTTCTTCTTCAACTTGTTTTCTGTATATAGGTCTTGTAAGATGTGGGAAGAGTTGCAGATTGCGTTGGATAAACTACTTAAGGCCTGATATTAAGAGGGGAAACTTCACTTTGGAAGAAGAGGAAACTATCATTAAGCTGCATGAAGTGTTAGGGAATAGGTATATATAAAACCTTTACTAAGGACTTCAAGTGAGCTAAAATATCGAATACAGATAATAGATTTATACAATTATATGTAAGAAGTGATATTCAATAAATCTGAAATTTAAATCTTAATACTTATAATTCATTTCCTTATCTCTAAATTGCGATTTTTTTTTTTTTTGGAAAAAAATCCCTTTTTCTGTTTTGTTGTTTGTTTTGAAGGAAACTATGGAAGAAAAGTAGTATCCAACTATCCTTAATTTGAAGCCTTGTGCATTCCACAATTAATGCATACAAGATTATTTATAACTAGAAAAGTCTCATGCAAATGTGTTGTATCAATATTTTTTTTAATGAACTTCCAGATGGTCAGCAATTGCAGCAATATTACCTGGAAGGACAGACAATGAGATAAAAAATGTGTGGCATACTCACTTGAAGAAGAGACTTAAACAATACCAGACCAAACCAGACACCAAACGAAACCCCAAGTCCAAATCCGAAATGAAATGTGAGTCGTCAAACTGTATCAGCAGAAGCCAATCAGAGTCTGGAGACTCAAGTTCCATTACAGGCAACATTCTATCAAGTACTGAAGTTTCAGGGAAGACACCGATGTCGCCTCAGCCTTCATCAAGTGAAGTTTCCTCCATTACAGATGCCACCACAGCTATAACTGGCCGGAAAGCGAACAACATGGATATCAAGGCTGTAAACATGGGCTGCTGGGAAAGTTTCTGGTCGGATGCACTGTCTGCGGATAATTCTAGTGCAATATCATTAAATTTTGAAGGAGTCAATGATGGATTCCAATCTCATCAAGTTCCTTCAAGTTCAGTTGATGTCATGGAGCCTGACTATGAATATGGTCAAAATCTTGATGATGCAATGGAGTTCTGGTACGACCTGTTCATTAAGGCTGGTGGTGAAGAAGAATTAATTAAAGCATTTTAATGATTTTGGTTGAAATATTTATCGATTCCTTATCTTCCTATCCTTATTCTTACCTAACTGAAAAAGATATTACATGTATAAATTTTTTTAAATTTGTAATCTCTAAATGTCAAACTCTAATATTATACCACTTGTCCAATTTGTTCATTCAAAAAGGAAATTGAAACTTGAAGGTATTGAAGGGCTGATCAAAATCATAGAGTGATGATATTGAAAATTTCTAAATTTATCATACTACATGGTATGATTTTGTATTTACAAAGAGATAATTACCATTTTAGTTACTTAAAACTTTTTTTTTCCGTCATCTTGCAAATGGACCACTTTTGGCTATACATTGGATATTCAGGAACTCATTAACTTAAAATTTTGGTTCCTTTACAATTGATTGCAGAAAGGTTTTGAAATTTCTCTTCCTACTGTTGATTGTCGGGATGGATGTGGATGAATTTAAGAAAAAATGAAGTGATAAACCACCGTTTGAAAAAAAAAAAAAAAGTGAACAAACAACAAAAGAAATGTGATTCAAAATTCGAAATTTAGCTCAAAAAATTCATGTAATTATTTTAGAAAATAATATTTAATAATTTTTAAATTTTAAATTTTAACATTTATAATTCATTTTCTTAGACTTCATTTGGATCAGCTTGCAGTGTCAGTGAGGTACGAATTTTCCTTTGAATCTCACCGCGCACTCATTTGGCAAACACTGCCATGTCGCGGTGAAGCATAATCTACCGCACTGGCCCCCATTTTTTCAACTGGACCTTGGAGGTCCAGTGGAGTTTTATTTTTTCAACCACAGCTCTCTTTCCTTTTATACCCCTTTTATCTTCTTACAAGAATTTTATAATTATAAAATATATTAGTTATATAATTTTATAATAAAATTATTAATAAATAAATAGATAAATATAATAAATATAAAAAAATAATTCATTTTTGTAATCAAATAAATTTCTAGTAAATATTAAAAAACATTTTTTATAATTAATTAATCAAAATAGATAACTAAATAAATAATAAAATAAATTAGTATTATTAACTCTTATTTAGGATGTGTAAATATGTTTGTTTTGTTTAAATAATAATAATTTTTATTAATATTTGAATATTTTATTTTGTTATATATATTTATTCTAATATTATATTTATAATTGTTACAAGTATTATTTTTGAAATATTAAATATTTCAAATAATTTTTATACTTAAAATTTTAATTATTATTTTAATATAATTTAACATGTGTCAATATTTTGATTAAATAAATTTTTAATATATTAAATATTAAATAATATTAAAATATATGTAAAAAATAATTAATTAATATACTTTTAAACTAATATTTTTAATAATAAATTTTTTTATTATAATTAATCCCACCACTACTACTACTTTTATATCCAAACGTATATCTCACCACAATGCGAGTAAAGTCATAAAATACCTCTTACCATGCATGTTAAAAAAAAAAAAAAAACCTACTTCAGAGATATTTTTACTCCAAACAAACCCCTATTTTAGCTGTATTATCATCACATATTCAACATGGCATAAACGCTAGTGAAGTCAAAAAAATAGAAAAGTCCAACCAATAAAGGGTATTCATTTGGAGTACTCAAAACTTTGGACGCATGATTTGCTCATCTGCCTCTTTCTTTACCAAAGTCATCAGAAAACTTTCTGATTCTTTGCTAATACCTTGTCTTTTACTTTAATTTTTCTCAAGCTTAGAAGGTGATGTTGCCTGCATTCCAATTTGTTTTTTCCTCCCAGCCATCTGTCATCTTCTTGGAATAAATAATTCTTTTTTATTTTTTTATACTTGAAAATTTTAAATAAAAAAAATTATCTCATTTCAAGATCAGAACAAATCGTAAATTTTAATAGAAAACATATAAAATTTTAAACTTTTTCGTGTTTACTCATAGCTCCGATCCATTCACTTTCCCACAATTTAGTGTTCACTAATGACATGAGCTAGTGATTTTATCCTCTTCACTTCTTTGATAAAAGCCATAGATTCTTCACTAAAGAAACATGTGCTGACAGAGAGGATGGAACTGATTAAGCTTGTTTTTTTTCTTTTTTTCCTTACTTTAGATCAATATATTACTATATTCACCAAAAGAAAAGGAAACAATTGTGCAACAGTAAAAAGCTTTGAGATTTGCCCCTTTTTACCAAAAAAACAGAACTTATTTATATTTCATAATTTTACCGGATTTCTTACGAAATCCTTACAAAAAGAAATCCCACATAAAAATTATTAATCAAAATTTGAAACAAATTCTAAATTTCCAATAATTTTTTTTCTGCCTACTAATCCTTAATTAATTCCAAGAAGCTTTCTAACCTTTTTTTTTTCTTCCCACCTACATTTTATCTTCTTACTTTTTCTTCTTTATATATTTGCATGAAGAACTTATGGCACCGAAGATCATGGTAGACCACCAAAAGAAAATAAATATACATTGTATATTTCCATGTTATGGATTTCTTAATTGAGGAAAATACAAATACTCGTTGTTCATAGTCCAATTCCAATCTCATCAGGTTCAAGGTGAAGGTTTTTCCATGTTTTTCCAACACTAAAACGGACTTGACTACAGTTTAATACATTTCATTAAGTATAAGAAATGACAAAATTTAGAAATAGGCTTGCTGATTTTATTTTCCACGTTGGAAAGGTACAATCTGCTCGTAGCTTGCACATCTGATAGAGATTTTTAAAATAAAATTTAAGAAATAATCTCACATTGAAAAAAAAAAAGGTCAGATAGTTAAGTTTATTCAAAACATATAAATAAACCTATTCAAAATAAATAGTTTCAATTGTTCAAAAGTATATAGTTTTTATTTATTTAAAATAGACAGTCATATCTTTAGGAAAAGACATTTATCTATTTTATAAAAGACTCTTTTGGTTTTTTGAAAATATACAAAAATAATTTTTTAAACTTTCTCTTTTTTCAAACTCCAGATTTCTTTTATAAAAATTTTACGACTAAAAACTTTTATAGAAGTTCAATGATCTTATGATATACGAGTGATTGCTTAGTAGACTGATTTCATCAGTAGAAAACACAGTTAATCACTAGACTTCATTATATCCTTAAGGTTTATTGTCTGCAATTCTTTTGTACACTTACTAAGTAAATAATAAGGTGAGAGCAAATAAAACCTTAAGAAAAGTGACACCATTACACACCTTATAGCCCTTCTTCAAAATTTCAGATTTATCAAAAAAAGTAATTCCAATTTTTTAGTGTTTGCTTTAACAATCTTAAAGTTTATTTGGTTTAACAATGGCTATTGAAGCAACACTCAAGGAATTGGCTTCTGATTTTGTCAAATTGGATCATTTTGATGGTGGCAATTTTCAAAAATGGTAGAAGAAAATGCATTTCTTGCTTTCAACCTTAAAGGTTGTATATGTTCTGCCTAGTCTCAACACAAAAAAATGAAATAGAAGAATCTGTTACTGCAACAAGAGTGAGATAGAAATGGGATAATGCAGACTACATGTGTAAAGGTTATATTCTGAACGATCTGTTTGATAGCCTATTTAATATATACCAAGACAAAGCTATTGCAAAAGAGTTATAGGACAAATTAGAGACTAGGTATATGATCGAGGATGCAACAGGTAATAAATTTCTCGTTAGTCATTTTAATAATTATCATATGGTTGATGGACGTTTAATGATTGAACAACTACATAAAATTGAAAGAATATTTAATTAGTTTAAATAATATAATATGAGTATTACTATGTCCTTTATAATAGACAAACTTCCTTTATTATAGAAAGACTTTAAAAGAAATTTGAAACATAAAAAAAAGAAAATCACTCTTAAGACTTTGGCTAATTATCTTTGAATTGAAAAGGAATACAGAAAATAAGAACAAAATTTCAATTATGTTGATATCAAAGTTTATGTTTTGAAAGAAATACAGACTACTATGTTTGACAAAAAAAAAATTCAAGTTCAAGCAGATTACTATTAGGCCTAAATTCAAAAAGAATAAGAAATGCTCATGTTACCATTATGGTAAGTCAGGATATTTTAAGAAAGAATATCGATTGTTACAAAAGAAAAATAATTCCTCAAAAGAGGATACTTCTGAAAAATTTATTAACATGATTTTCAAGATCAACATGCTTGAAAATGATAAATCTTAGTGGGTTGATTCTGAGGCAACAAAACATGTGTGCAAAGACAAAAGCATATTCACAACATTTAAACCAATTGAATGTAGTAGTGTTCTCTACATAAGAAATTCTTCTACAACAACAATCAAAGGAAAATATACTGTTGACATTGAATTCACTTTTGGAAGAACTTTAACTTTGAATAATATTTATTATTTACCAGAAGTTAGAAAAAACTTAGTGTTTGAAAATCTGTTGAACAAGTTTGGTTTTAAACTTGTATTTGAAACAAATAAATTTATTTTGTCTAAAGAAAAATTTTTTGTTAGGAAAAGGTATATGTATGAGGGAATGTTCAAATTCAATATTATTAATAAAAATAAGAATGTTGTCTTTCCTTACATAGTTGAATCTTCATATTTATGACATTATAGATTAGATCATTTAAATTATAAAAAAATTACATGATATGTGTAAACTTTTGTTAATTTCTAAATTTAGTCAAGGCATTAATAAATGTAATACATACATGTTGATTAAAATTAAACGAAATCATTTTCCTAAGGTTAAAAGAAATATAAAATTACTTGAATTAATTCACAATGATGTTTGTTATATGCATAGCACTCCTACATTATCTAAAAATAAATATTTTATCATATTTATAAAAGATTATACTAGATATTGTTATGTTTATATGTTATATTCCAAAAATGAAGTACTTGATAAGTTTAAAATATATAAATATGCAGTTGAACTTCAGTGTGAATCTTTTATCAAGTGCTTGAAAACGGATAGGGGTGAAGAATATTATAGTCCAAGTTACTTTGAATATATCGAAATAATCCATCAAGTTACTGCTCCTTATACACCATAACAGAATGGTGTAGCTGAAAGGAAGAACAGGATTTTAGCAAAATGGTAAATGCAATGTTATCATATTCTGGTATTAGACAAGGATTTTGGGGTGAAGCTTTATTAACAGCTTATAATACGCTAAATAGAATTCTTAACAAAGAAACAAATATAACCCCATATAAGCAATGGAAGAAAATGAAACTAAATCTTAATTATTTTAAAGTTTGGGGATGTAGAGTTGTAGTTCAAATTTCAGAACCCAAATAAAAAAAGTTAGGTGAAAGAAGAATAGAATGCATATTTATAGGATATGCATAAAATAATAAAGCATATAAGTTCATGGTTATTAAATCAAATGATTCAATTTAGTTAACACTATTATTGAATCAAGAGATGTAATTTTTTTTATGAAAATAGATTTAAATCTATTTCGAGACAACTAGAAGTAATTCATCCTATAAGTGGAAAAGAAATTTCAAATCCATTAGAACAAACTGAAATTAATGATAAATTTTGTCAAGAAATAAATACAAGTAAGAAGGTTAGAAAGGCAAAAGATTTTGGACTAAATTTTTTATGTTCCTTGTAGATGAGACTAGTGAAAGCATAAACAATAAAATTTGTTATTGTTTTAACACGAAGTCTGATCTTGTTACATATAAAGAGGTAATGAAGTCTCAAGATTTTGCTTTTTGAAAAAAAGTAATAAATGATGAAATGCACTCAATAATGGGAAATAACACTTGTATTTTGGTTAACCTTCCACCAGATTCTAATCCAATAAGCTGTAAATGGATTTTCAAAAAGAAAATGAAGATGGATGAAACCATAGATAAATTTAAAGCAAGGTTGGTAGCCAAGGGCTTTACACAAAAGCAATGAATATTCTACTTTGATACTTATGCTCTAGTAGCTAGAATAGCTACAATTAGGCTTTTAATTTCACTTGCCTCAATTTATAATTTGATTGTATATCAAATGGATGTAAAGATAACATTTTTAAATGGTGAATTAGAAGAAGAAGTATATATGAAACAATAAGAAGGATTTATCATTTCAGGTCAAAAGCATAAAGTTTGTAAGCTTGTAAAATCCTTGTATAGACTTAAGCAAGCACCAAAACAATGGCATCAAAAGTTTAATGAAATCATTCTTGTTAATGATTTTAGAATTAATGAGTCAATTAAGTGCATATATAGCAAATTTGAAAATAACAAATAAGTCATAATTTGCTTATATGTGGATGATATGTTAATATGTCGCAATGATTCAAAACAAGTTAAAGAAACAAAAAAAATTTTATCAAATAACTTTTCAATGAAAGATATGGGTGTAGTAGATGTTATTCTAGAAATTAGAATGATCCGGAATGATAATGGCATAACCTTATCACTATCATATTATATTGAAAAAATACTTAAAAAGTTTGATCTTTTCAATTGTATTATAGTATCTATACCCATGGATTCTTAACTAAAATTAGTATTTAATATTGGTAGAACAATCGATCAATTGCAATATATAAGAGTAATTAGTTGTCTGGTGTATGTAATGACTTGTATAAGGCTAGACATAGCATTCGTTGTTGGAAAGTTAAGTAAATACACAAGTAATCCAAATAGCTTGCATTGGCAAGCAGTTAAAAGAATAATTCGATATTTGAAGAAAACAATCAATTACGGATTGTGTTATAGTGGATATCGTTTAGTTATAGAAGGATATTTTGATGCTAGTTGGATTACTAATATGTAAGATCATACTTTTACAAGTGGGTAGATCTTTGTACTTAGGTGGGGTGCCATTTCTTGGGGTTCTAAGAAACAAACATGCATAATGGATTCCACTATGGTAGTCGAGCTTATTGCATTAGCCGTAACAACTAAAGAAGCTGAATGGCTTAGAAATTTATTATATGAAGTTCTTTTATTGCCTAAACCAATTTTTTCAATTTCTATCCAATGTGATAGTGAAGTAACCTAGGAAGGGCATATAACCAAGTATACAATAAAAAGTCTAGACATATTGGATTAAGATATAGCTATATTCGATAATTAATTTCAGATTGAGTGATCACTATAAATTATGTGAAGTCAAGTGAAAACTTGACAGATCTTTTAACCAAAAGTCTTGCTATAAAGTTGGTAAAAAAAACCTCAATAAGGATAGGACTCAAACTCATGAATTAAAGTCACCTATGATGGAAACTCGACTTAATGCTTGGTATAACGTCAAGTCTTGAGTTCAATATGATAAAATACATCATCTATACGTGACTACTAGCACTTTAGTAATGTTTAATGTTATCTCAAGTAAGGTGCTAGGTACCTATAATGGTAAAGGAATGATAAGTAATATATTTTTAATAAAACAATAACATAAGTATCTTAAAGTATTATAGTTACATGAACACTTTTGATGGGAGTTACCTATGTCAATGTGAAGTATAATCGCTTCTATGAGCTTAAGAACTTGACTTTAATAGTACTCATAAAAAGAGAATGCAGACATATGACCATAAATGTGTCATCGGATACCAAGCATTCATTAGGTGTTGAAATCATTGTATGAGACAAGTTTAGTTAATTAAATGGAAAGCTTAATTTACCATACGATTTTTGTTAACTTTAACTCATTTTCACTAAGTAAATGTTTAATATTGATTTTCAAAATCATCATAAACCTGAATTATTTTGAAAATGGTGAAGAATTGTTAGAAAGTTTCAAAATAAAATACAAAAAATAATCTCACACTGAAAAAGAAAAAATAAAGACAGATAATTAAGTTTATTAAAAACAAAAAGATAAGTCTATTTAAAATAAACAATTACAATTATTAAAAAATGGACAATTTTTATCTATTAAAAATAAAGTCATGTCTATATGAAAATATACTTATCTATTTATAAAAGGCTCATTTGGTTTTCTAAAATATACAAAAACAATTTTTGAAATTCTTCCTCTTTTTTCAAACTCTAAATTTCTTTTACAAAAATCTTGCCGTAAAAAAACTTTATAACAATTCAGTGATTTGTGGCACCAGTAATTACTCGATAAATTGATTTTATCAGCATAAAATGTAATCAATCATTGAATTTTATTATATCCTCAAATTTTATTTTTTGCAACTTTTTTACACACCTACTAAGTAAATAATACTAAGTAAATAATACGATGAGAGCAAATAAAATTTTAAAAAAATAACACCGTTACATATCTTAAAATTTTTTCTCAAAATTTCAAATTTATCAGAAAAAGTAATTCCAGTTTTTCAATTTTTGCTTTAACACATCCGACTTATAAAAAATAAAAGCTTAAGAAGGCGTTGGGAGTTGAGATTTCGAGAGTAAAGAAGAAAAGCTACCCTAAATTATAATAAAAATAAAAAATAGGAAATTTGGTTCCCCCTTTTGAATTACTTATAAATGATCTGAACTTAAAATATATCAATAACTATAAATGGTTAAACATGATTTGAACTTTAAATCTATTGATTACCATAATTGATTGAGTTGTAGATATTATTATTATTATTATTATTATGCCAAAATATCTTTGGTTTAACATCAAAAGCCTATTTATGCCTTCATTTATCCATAATGTGTTAGCTGGGATGATGTGAAAACATAAGCGACTTTGGAGAAACTCAACCCAAAATCTTGTTGCTACAATTAAGAATACATCAAATCAATTTGGATCCATTCAACATTTTTGAATGAAGCAACCATTATTTGATCAAGTCAGTCTTTGGAAGATGCAATTCGGTTTCTTGGGTTTAGCCTTTGTTCCCCTTTTGTCAGCTAGGCACCTTCGCTAGATGACCATGAAACTCTGTATTTGTAATAAACCTATCACACAGATAAAAATGACTCCAAAACATATAGCTTGATAAGTTCTAATGGATCCAGGAAGCATATGATAAGATCAAACAATAGTCTTCATTATCCCATATTAAATTGAAGCTAAAATCCCCATATAAACTGACGGGTGTAATGAAGTAAGACCCAGGGAGGTAGCTTCCCCTTCATTAACGGTTCATCTAGATTTTAACAATGCTTTTATTCAAAACTGCAGCTACCCCTAATAAGGTAAACACTTACAGAAATGATGAATGCATTCATGAGAGGCAGGAGTATGCCAATTCCTTCTCCTCACTGAGCTCAGCTCCGGTCAAGTCCAACTTCTTCCTTGAGAATTCATCAATAGCCAGCCCTGAGACAAAGAAAAAAAAAAGAACAGAAAAAGGTAATTAAAATGTTCTCATTAAAATATTCTTGAAGAAAAAGCTTGCAAATGAGCAAGAGAGCGAAGCTGCTAATACATATTGGTACAAGAACTGCTTCAAACTTCCAAAGAAAATTGAAGCAGAGATTTAAAAGTGTAACTATGATAAGATTTCAACTTCGAGGGACAACACGTCAGCAACAAGTGCAGTGATGACAAGCTTTTAGAAAATTAAGAAAAGGAAAACAGCTTTTTCTTGTCATTGGGGTTTCAGAAGGTGTTGGAGGAGAGGAGAGGCACAGAGGAAGTGTGTTAGATGATTAAAAGCATCAATATCTAGTTACTATTATGGGTCCGTGCAGACATGAGACAACCCACAATTAACGCTATAATGGGATCATTTTTTTTTTTTTCGGGTACATAGGAAGCTGTAGTTTGGGAATAAGGGAAGGAGTTGTCAGTGTTGGGATTCAAACTCCAAACTTGCTGAATGCCACCGCTTAAAGGGGGTAACATGAACCAACTATATTAAACTCCAGGTTCAATGGAATCATATTTTGCTGTATTCTTACCTTGGACAATTGTCCATTCTCCATTGCAACAAGTTACTGGGAAGGAATAAATGAGTCCAGCTGGTACATTGTATGAACCATCAGAGTACACACCCATGGAAACCCATGTGCCCTACAGATGCAACCAAATGAAGCAAAAAATGAGATTATGACCATATTAAATATCATTAAAAAAAAGAACAGATTAACAACACTGCCAACCTCAGGGGTTCCAAGGACCCAATCACGTATGTGATCACAAGCAGCACTAGCAGCAGATAGTGCACTAGAGAGTTTCCTAGCTTTGATGATTGCAGCACCTCGTTGTTGGACAGTGGTTATGAATTCTCCATTCAACCTTTAAATGAATGAATAATATCAAAAGAATGCTTCAAAAATCTCAGTACAAATAAATCTATTTCATCAGATAATCATTTATGTTATCATTTTCTTTACCATTCATCATCCTTCACAAGCTCCCGAACTGGCTTTTCCCCAGATGGAGTGTTAACAGTTGCATGATTGACATCAGGATACTGAGTTGATGAATGATTACCCCAAATAATCACATTTTTAACATCACAAACTTGGACATTTAATCTCTCTGAGATTTGACCTAATGCCCTGTTATGATCCAGCCTTGTCAAACAGGTAATGTTCTTTGCAGGGATTGAAGGTGCAAATTCCTTCAGGATCAATGCATTGGTGTTGGCAGGGTTAGCAACAACCAGAACCTGAAATGAACAGGAAGTACATGAAAGCAGATAAGGTAAAACAGTACATTAAATCTTAATGTATAAACTTAGCAACTATTGAGGGCCATCAAGGAATTTCCAAGGTCTCATGACAGGAAATATATGCCATTGCGTAATGGATAGAATGCAAATTATTTCATTTAAAAAACTTTAAGATGTTAGAAGAACATTTGATTGTCCACTCTTGCCTAATCAGCAGCAAATCACAAAATACCCTACTGATGTTTAAAGACTAGCTAGAAAATAAAGGTTAAGAATTTCAACAAATAATATTACTCCCATCTATATTGGTGGGAAAAAAAACAGCATTTTAAAAATATTAATATATTTTATGCAAGAAAAGAAAAAAAAAATTAAAAATGAATATTAAAAGTTTTCATTTCGCAGGTGATCAAATGGTATAATTTTCATGTTGAAACATTTTCATCATACCTTGCAGTTAGGAGCCGCATGCTGTTCCAAGGCAGAAGCCTGGGACTTGTAAATTGACACATTCTTTGACATAACATCTTTCCTTTCCATTCCTTCCTTCCTCGGGAAACCGCCAACCATAACTGCAATGTTGACTCCAGTGCATGCCTCAACAACATCAGTTGTGGCAACAACACCTGACCAAAAAAAGAAATAAAAAAAAAAACTTGGTTAGATCCCGCAACCATACAACATATTCATACAAATTGTGGAAGTCGAATTCATAATACACCTCAGCAACAACATTTTCTACTTAAACCATGTGATAATGAACAAATATACCTTTTAGAAGAGGGAACGCTGCGTCCACCAATTCCATTTTGACTCCATCCAAAGCCTCTGCTGCAGGTGGGATATCAAGCATGTGAAGGATCACAGGCTGGTCCGCACCTAACATGACTCCCCTAGCAATCATGGGTACAAGAGCGTACCCAATTTGTCCTGCAAATACAACGACAATATTTTCCAATAAATCTTTTAAGAAAACAAAAAGGAAATCAGTAAGTTTAAAGCTTCTCTTCGCAAATTCAATTAAACCTTTATTTATTTATGATCTTAGCAAGTCAATATATTCATGTTTCAAACTAGTATGAAATTCAAAAATTTTCAAAATTTTAAAGCACATCCTCCATCATTTAACATATGAACTTCCACAATTACTAGTTGAGCTATTATGCTTAGATCCATGTCAGATTAAACTAGTTTTCACTAAAATCCTAACTATGGATAAATTATTTTCTAATCCTAATTCATGTTTCAAACTAGCATGCAAATCAAAATTTTTCAAAATTCTAAAGCACATCCTCCATCATTTAACATATGAACTTCCAAAATTACTAGTTGATTTATTACGCTTAGATCCATGTCAGATTAAACTAGTTTTCATTAAAATCCTAACTCTAGATCAATTATTTCTAATCCAAAAAACTATCAGTCCGATCGAAACATCCGAAATAAAAATAATGGAAGTCGAGACCATGATTAAATAGATCAGAAAACAGAGATCGGATCCATCGAACAAAAATAACTTTAGATTCGAGCTAAGAAATGTTAAGTAAAAGATCTGATTGGTGGAATTTAACAGTACCTGCAGCTCCAGTGACGAGGACGCGAACTGATTCTTTTGTCATTGGTGGAGCGAAAAATAACAAAATCGATGTCGTTTGGAGATTGTTCAGTGGATATAGTAAGCTGAAGATATCGAGTCGAAGGACAAAAATGGAGACGGAAACGCGAGGAATCGGAGATATTTATACGCCAAGGAAGTGACATTGCCAAGGCGCTGGTGATAAAAGCAAAGGCCTCTTTTGGGCTTTGAAAAATGCTTCGTACGTCGTCGTTTTGAATATATGCATTGGGATACCGGCCACTTTGTGGAGCCCAGACAAGACTAGAAATGACAATGGAACATGGCGGGCCGAATTTTTACTTTCCCCGCCCCAAAACTTAAATAATTTTATCCGATATTCGACTAGTCCCTACTTAGAGGATTTCGTTGTTAATTCGACTTGATAATAATACTATTTTTTTAATTTAGATTTAAATTTAAGTTATTATTAATTTAAATTTATTGAAAATTTAATAAATCATAATTTAAATATATTATAAATATTAACAAATTTAATTAAATCACTTATAAATTCAAATTTAGTATATAAATTTTTTTATCTAGTAAAATTTTATAAATTTTCATCGTAACTAATGAAATTATGGAATACATAAAACTTAATAAATTAAAATTCATAAATTTTCATCTAAACAATGAAATTATGAAATATATAAAATTTAGTAAACTAAAATTCAAACATCAAATAAGAATAAATTAATAACTAAAATTTAAACATAAAATATGATACAATACAAAAATCAAAAGTTTAAACCACCACAATAAAAAATTAAATTGTTTGAAAATCTTTTCATCTAAAATGGTGAAAATCTTCCAAGACCACAATAAATCATTTCATTATTACTAAGTTTCATATCTTCATTCTCTTTTAACCACACTAATCTTATATAATAAAACAATAAGATAAATAAATAAATCTCATAAATAATATATTTAAAAATAATAATATAAAAATTAATTAGTTAAAAAAGATAATATTATTTATCAAACTAGTTATCTTTTAATCAATCTCACTCTCATCAACATTTTCGTAGAACGACTTTTCTCATAATGAAATTAACCCTAAAAATTAAATAATAAAATATTAACAAATAATATATAACAACAAAGTATAATAACTAATAATATGCTAAAATAAAAAATAAAATTGCATAATATATATTATTGTACCTTTTTTTCAACTCATAACCAAATTTGATAATATGTTAAAATTTTTATAGTTGATAGATGAAGTCTATTACATTACATATTCCCTCCAGTAATAAAAGTAGACTCTGAAGTAACAGTAAAAACTAGTATGGCATAGATATCTTTAACAATAAGTTGTAAGGTAAGAAATTGAGGTCTAGTTAGTTTCCATCAATTCAATATATCAAAATTCTTTTTTTTGTATGACCTCTTCATCCAAGTAATGATCTAACTCGGATTTCACTTTTGATTCATCTTTTTTTTCCCTTGAAACAAAATCATTATAGTCTCCCAAATTTTCCAATTTAATAACACCAACATCATCTAAAGATGAAAAACTTGAAGTAGAAGGTCCTCACTCCTTTTTCAAAGTCAATTTATCCTCATACTCCTTAAACAAATCTTGACATATTTGCATAATCCTTTTAATTTCAAATTCAACATTTTTTACATAAATTTTTTTAAACTAATACTCTAACAACTCTATTTTGTACCTTGGATCTAAAATTGTGACAACACCCATTATATCATGCACATCATTCTAATATTTTTTAAATTTGCTTAACAGGCTCACTACCATACATGAAATAATCTTATTGCTATGCATAATCCATTCATTCAATGCCAATCTGATTTTGCAAATATAAGAAAAATAAAGATTTGCAATAGCATATTTTGTACCAAAAAATCCTTCAGTGATATTTTAAAACAATCAACTTATCATAAATCTCAATTGCCATGATCCAATCATTTCTAGTTGGCAAACATTTATACCAAAGGATCACCATGTAATTGCACACAACAAAGGAAAACATCTTTATAAAATAAAGCTATTCGAAGCTTCAAGTAAGTAAAATTTCATCATGTTTTGACATCAACACACAACATTTTTAAAGTTAGAATGCGCAATTGACTCGTTGTTTCTTCAAATTTTTCTGACCTTTTTTGCTATAGCATCCCAAAAAAGAACAGTATCACGAATTCTTTTGATTTCATCTCCAATCATACTCAATCCATTTTCATAATTAAATGCAAGATGTGTGCACAACAACGTATATGAAAAAAAGCTCCATTGAGCAAAAGTGCATCACAACCAATTCTATCAATTAACAACTCAATAACACCATCATTCACACTACAATTATCACGTAATAGATGAAAGTTTCTTATCAATATTTCAATCTAAAAAATATTTCATCAAACTTGAAGCCATAACCTCTTTTGTATATGGAGTTGGCACATATTCAAACCTAATTAAACAATCAATCATTTACGCTAACTTAATAATTAATTCAATAATAATAATTACTTAATAAAAAACAAACACTATCAAAATAAGATAATTTAAAAAATATACCCGATGATGCATTTTTGTAAGTTTCATTCATTATTGATGTAATAAGTAGTGACAGTCATGTATCCTCTTTTTTAGTGATCAACAATCCATATATTAGTTGTGATAGCAATCTCCCTTCATTAGCTTTCAACTTACATATTGTTTTTGCCTTTTTTTCCTTGAAAATCTTTAAAATATCATTTTTATAGTATTTCGAGAAAGCATAGCAAACAAAAGTTAGAGACTATAAGAATACTTTTTAAATTATACATGATCAACAATTGATAAAGGATATTCGTGCATGATTATCATGTTGGCAAGCTCCCTCATTGTGACACTTTGATCAAAGAAAAAGTTTTTTACTATTACTTTTCTATCTGTCTTCCTTTGATTAGCTACCAACACTTGTTAATGAATATCCATTTGAAATTACTTGTTACACCTTTCTGAATACTCACGCAAATGACTTGTTCTATTCTTAGAAGCACCACCAAGTTTTTTCTTACAATAATTATATATTGCCTTCCATTCATTATTGATCTTTTTTTAAAAAAATATTTCTATACTTCTAATTTTAGCTTACTTGAGTTATATACACTATCATCAACATCAGCACCCTTGTTAGTCGCACTTAATGATGGAGCTGCATTTTCATTAGATGTTGGAGTGAGATTTTGCTGAATTGGTGATTAATGCGAAGTAGAAGTAAGAGGTGTCGAGGAAAATGAATTATCTCCCAAATTAAACTTTTGTACTTCATTCATAAAAAAAAAATTAGTTATTATTCTTGATATTAACGAATAAAGCAACTGAATAAATTAGCTGCATAAAACCAAAATAAATAGGTTTATTAACAAATAATTCTACTGAAACAATTAAAAAATAAACTTAGAATCAAAGAATTCAAGAAAAATTGAAAAAGAAAAGTTCATTTCGTAAAAAAAAAAAAGGTGATTGTCCTACCATGTACAACTCAACATACACATTTAGGTTGCTACTTTAGTACGTATTTTTAGTCAAATCTCACTTTCACATAGATTCATAGTAAAAGGAAGGATAGCTTTTAATCAAACAATGCCAAAATATTCCTAAGCAATGGTTTTTGAAAAAAAAAAAAAAAACTATGATTACAACAATTGTTTTAGAACTTTATAAAAAATGTTGTAAATGAGTAAAAAGTAAAAAGCAACAAGCAACAAGCAAGCAAATGGACTGCTTAATTTTAATTCAACTAATTCATTTTTGAATTTTCATCTCGCTTAATTTCAATTTGGTGTAAGTGTGGTGTTGTTGTGTATCATTATAAAAAGAATACAAACACATATCCATACTCACAAAGTTATGGCCTTACCTAAAACACTACACCACATTTCGTAAAATGGCCTTACCACTGTCTAACAAAAAAAAATCTATGTGATCTGACGGTCTTAATATTTTGATCCCCACCATTGTAACTTCGCACAAGGGTATTTAAAAAAGCAAAGAATGAGAAGGCAAAGCCCATGTTAATATTATTAGGAAAAACAAGAAACTAACAAATAACCAAACAAGTAAACTGACACCAACCAAAACACCATTAATCTAATTTATGTTCTTGGCAGCTATTTGTAAATTACAACCAAAAATAAAAAGTAAAATTTGGTCATTTTAATAGTTTTCAACTTAATGCCATTATTACCACCTGAACTACTTTTTCCACGAAAAGGATAAATGATGCTTTTGTTTGGACCTAAAAAGCAATTAAACTCTAAAACTATAAGACTAAATCTTAAGCACAGCTCCATGTATCACTTTGAAAAAGAGTTTATGCAACTGTAACAAATTGAATATCTACTTACCTTTTTTTTTTCTTGATATTCAAAAGTAAGAACGATAGAATACAAATGGAACTATAAATTAGTTAAATTTACAGATATACCCTGAATAAAGCCTACATGATAAAACATCAATTTTTATTCTTTAGTAGAATTTCTTAAAGTTCAATTTGTAGGTAAACCTTGAATAAAGAACATTTTAAAAAAATTTATGAAAAAGAAAAAGATAATGACTAACCTTGAAGTTTTTGGTGAGTGGTAATAGATCTTTTAGAAATGGACTGAAATCAAACAAAACAAAGGCGATTTTGTAGATAAAGAAATAGTGGATCAAGGTGGCAATTGCTCCCTTCTCCTTGCTCGATAAGCGGCAACTCAATAAAAGCTACTATAGAATTTGAATTTGGCTTTGCTGCTTAAAAGCTTGGCTTTTTTCTTTCTAGCGTGACTTTTTTCTTTGCTAAAATAGAAAAAGGGAATGGATGGAAGCCACGGAAGGAAGAAATGAAGTGGGCTGGGTGGATGGGAAAAAGTTTGAAGAGTTACGAGAGTTAGATAGATTAGAGGCAGGAAAAATGGGAAACCTTAAAAAAAATAACATATATATATACAAAGGTATTTCGGTAAAAATCTTGGGTTAGGTTTCATATAAACCTACCTTCGACCCGAATCCGCTGTTAAAAAAAATTAAAATCAACTTGACTCGACTCGACCTGAAATCCAATTTTTTTTAAAAAAAAAAAATTCGATCCTATAAGATCAAGTCAAGTTGAAACCCGACGGTTTCGGGTTGATTTGCTGTCCCTAGACAAGACA